CCGTGTTTTGATGCATTTTCTGAATTAAATACTTAAAGTGCTTGTGTGGAAAAGGAAAAACAAGCTGTTCTCATCAGAGATGAGTAAGCAACACTGAATATGCTTTTTTTCCCCCCGCACACTGGCGACTGGGGCTTAATGGTCTGCCTCGGACCTTGTGTTTGCATGCTATGAGGAGGTTTATGAATTTTAACATGAGTGGATGACACTGAGCTGCAGAGAGGAAAATAACATCAGCATTAGCACAAAACAGAGCAGCTCTGCTGTAATCTGGCCTTATTGTTCCTTTCACTAAATGTTTAATATGTTTACAATAGATGCCACTTGTAGCTTACTTCATAGCTGCCAGAAGCTACACGAACAAATGTGTTTACAGCTAAGGATTCAGGGTGAGATCAGTAAAAAAAGGAAAGGCGAGACGAATGGCAAAGGGAAGGAATCTATCTTAAGGATCACATTTGGTCAAGGTTCGGACAACTGAAAGTTTGCTAAAGTTAGTGTTTAGTCTTTTGCAACACCATTGATTTAGCATTGAGTTTTGTTATTGTGTCAGCATCAGCAAGGACTGTAGGTGCAATAAGCAATAGGAGTCACAAGGCTGTAAAAGGGCAAATGAGGTAAATGGTTTGTGTTCCACCCTGGGAGAGTCAGTTACCTGACCCTGACACTGAACATACTGTGTAAATATATACCTCTGTCATGTAGGGACTCACACAATTACATGTTATGTCCTGACACTTAAGTAATGCAATTTATACATGACATAACAATGTAAGTTCCTTTTGTAAAAGAGTTCTTTCATAATATCATTTTTTTGGCTTAATATCTAATAAAGATGCCTTTAAAGAGTTATTTAATAAAGTGTGTGTGTGTGTGTGTGTGTGTGTGTGTGTGTGTGTGGCTCTTTTGCACAGTTTTTCATGCCGTGAACATGCAAAGTCCACACAGAAAGACCCTGGCTGAACCCAAAACTCTTTTGCTGTGTGGTGACTTCTGTGCCGCCCTTAGCAAAAATGTAATTTATTATTTGTTATCATAAGTTAATACTGTCAGTTCTTTAATTATTCTTTTAACTAGCCTTTGGGAAAAGGCTTTATTTAAGAAATTCCTCAACCATGATCAGCGCTCCGTGAATGAAACGGCACGTGCGCTTACAGTACGTCTTCCTCATACACAGAGCCGATCTGACTTAGCTGTGTAACCTGCTTAATAAATCACTTCACCAGTGTTGACACACACTTTTAACGATCCATGAAGAATCCATTATCCACAGCTCAGTTCAGTTTTGTTCAGTAGCACTGCGTCTCTTGTCTCTCCCAGTTCAATTCAGTTAGTTCTGTTGGTATGAATCTCATTAACTGGTACCTAAGCATCCAAATAAACCTGAAAATTGAATAAACTAATACCAATAAACAGCACAAGTGGGATTTAGTCAAACATAATACATTGGATAAATTGGATCCCAGTATATCTCATTCCATATCAAGACTGGATTGAATGGAAAAACAAAACTGATCAAAAATTGTGCTTTAAATCAACCAATATAATCTTTTTGCAATTTTCACCATAAATGTCTACCTATCGTTTCTTAAAGAAAATGAAACATGACAGTTATGATGTTGAATATCACAATAAATTTGTTCTCTTAAAGCAGATGTAAGTAGAAAAAGTGAATGCATATGAAAAACAGGGTGTCATTAAAGTAGCAGGGACAGAGAGAAACAGAGAGACACAACTGCCTGGCAGCTAAATGTCTGCTGACCAGTTAATCTTGTTTAGTATAAATAAATAAAATACCAAATAGTGTTACAAATGAGAAACAAGTGAGTGAGAATGCATGAAAGAAAAAATGTGTAACATGGGGGTGATTAAAAGAAAAATAACACTAGAGTTGTTAATTACTGACTTAGAGCGTACTCACACCGTTGTTAATCAGCACCACTCATGAAACTGCAGGTTGTTTTGGTGTTGTTTTTGCAGATCTGTTCAGATGTTTTTGTAACACGACGAGTAATGGTGTGTGTTGTTTTTGTGTGCACATCTGTCCTGTCAACAAGCTCCTCACCTAACCCAACATACACCTGACATGATGTTTGTGAATGAGACAGTGAGCATACATATACATGGCACAGAGCTATACTCCACCTATACTAAGGTGAAGTGAGGATACTGTGTACGTGTGTGCTCACGCTGTGGTGTGTCCTGGGTAACGTAGTTGATGAGTGACTCATGCATGTCTGTATTTTCCTGGAAACTGGTGCTGAACACAGCATATGAGTGGAGTGGAGCAGTGAGAATTTCCGTTCCTTGGTCACAGAGCTGTTTGTCCGCCTTGCTTCCCTGCTCAAAGCTGCACCAGGCCGTTCCTCATTATCACTTATATATGTATATTTATTTCACCTTTAGCTTAAACCATAGCCTTATATCCCAAAGAACTGAACAACAAGTTTTTTTCCAAAAGAAATTATTTAATTCAGTTAGGCATGTCTAACAAGGAATATAGCACAAAAAGTTATAGAAAAAATTCAATGGATCTAAATAAATGGTGTCATGGTGCGAAGACAATAATCTCACCCTCAATACAGACAAGGCGAAGGAGATGATAGTGGACAGGAGGAAGGAGAGGAGATCTCATCAGCCACTGTTCATCTGGGTGCTTGAAGTGGAGAGGGTGAGCAGCTTCAAATACCTGGGCGTCCACATCAGTGAGGACCTCACTTAGACACCACACAGCTGGTCAAGAAGGCCCAACAGCGGCTGTACTTCCTGAGGAGGCTGAGGAGGTTTGACATGTCGCCTAGAATCCTCAGGAACTTCTATAGCTGCATCATTGAGAGTATCTTGATCAGCTGTATCACCGTGTGGTACGGCAGCACTACTGCTATGGACTGCAAGTGCCTGCAGAGAGTGGTAAAGACTGTGGAGAAGATCACCAGGACTCCACTGCCCTCTCTGCAGAGCATTTACCACCACAGGGTCCGCAGGAGAGCTGCCTCCATCCTCAGGGACACCACCCACCCTCAGCACGGACTGTTCACACCTCTACTTGGAGGTACAGAAGTGTGAAATGCAGGACTTCTAGACTTAAGAGCTCTTTCTTTCCCACTGCCATCAGACTCCTAAACAGCTGACAGGAGTTTATAATTAGGCATTACTTCATGCAATTGCACCTGACTGTTTACATTCTCAGTTTGCTCATGTATAATTGCACACTCATTGCTGACTGTTGCACATACAGCTGATGTAGCATATATACTTATTATTTTTTATTATATTATTCACTTGCTGTTTTTTAAAATTGCCTTTATTTTGTATTATTATTTTATATTTAGACTTTATATTGTTTGGCATTCATTGTGGACAACAAAGGAAGAATTTCATTATGCAGAGAAACATGTTTCCTTACTGTGCATATGACGATAAACACTTTGATTTGATTTGATAAAAATATACACTACTCCTCTCCTGACTCCTGATCTTTCAGTTTCCCTTTTAAAACTATTTAGGAACTCCATTGTTAAGCTTGCAAGAGCTCATTTTTGACTGAAAAGTGTTGGATAATGGTTGTGCAAGACACAGATGCACTCTGGGTTAGGCTTGAGCGTGCGTCAGCAGCACCAGAGTGAAATTGGAGAGGGGCACAGGGCAACGCTCCATCTTTTTTTTTTTTTTTAAGAAAAGCTGCTCTGCGCTCTGTCCAAAATCCCCCTGCTCCCCGTTCGTGCTCTGCTCCACTCACATGCTATGGTGCTGAATCTTCAACCTAGCCAGGATGTAATGAGAGCTAATAGAGGCCGACTGTTTGTTTCCATCTTTCACTTATGGTCTCACCTGCCTCCCCCCATCTTCTCCCCTCTTCTGTTATTTCTCTCTTACCAGCCAACACTCCTCTACACCAGTTCCTCCTACATGTGCAGCATGCCTTTGTCCTCAATTGACATTATCCTACATTTATGTATGTCATCTACCCACATTCTGTATTCTGCGCGCTGTACCTACGTTTAATGGGTGTACCCATGCCTTTGGTGGTTTACGTCTTACACAACTACACCTTCTCTGGCACGTGGGATTTCTCATTGATGTTGTTTGACCCAGATCTTAATCACGTATAGCAATACTAAATGTGTGGACTGTATTGTGTGCAGAGTTTCATTTTGACTCCCCCTGTTTCTCTGTTTGATCATTACTTTAAATTCAAATTAGTACTGGCTTGATGTGAAAGTCAATACAATAGTATGTTATTACATGGTGCTCACTGTTCCCAGGGACTGCCTCAGTCAGAAAACTTGTAAAATTAATTGAACTGAACTCTGAAGCCCTTAAAGACCCAGTGATGTGAACTCCGCCTCTGCCAAACAGTCAGATTCACAGGATTAAGAGAGGCATGAGGTTACTTTGACCTTGACCTTTGACAACTAAAATATAATCATTTCATCCTTGAATCTAAGGTGACAAGTTGATAGTTTGTTCACAGTTGTGTTTACTGCTGTTTAGTATGTGTGTGTATGTACGCTATGTATGTGTGTGAGACTGAGATGTGAGCACTGTAGAACCAATTTCATCTTGGCAGTATTAACTATCAGCCATTTCTTAGCCTTTGGCAAATTGCCTTCTGTATGTTATTAATTTGCTTTCCCATTAATAGTGTAATTTCACAATACTTAAGGTTTTGTGTATGTGCAGTTCTTTGTACGTGTGTCTACACTTGTCTGCTGAGTCATTCAGCAAGGAGCTGGGGGATGCAGTGTGGCTGTCAATGCAGTTTGCTAAATATGCTAATAGCCCAGCATCTCTTTATAAAAGAAGAATCACACTGACTTCAAAACACTCCCACATAGCACACGAGCAGGGGAACAAACAGGATTTTAGCGAGTTTGGAAGTCAATGGGAGCACAAACACACATGATACTGTATATTTCACATCTTCAAATGTTTTTGTGTTTGTCTTTAACTTGTACAGAAATAGTAGACTCTAATCTCTTCTCTCATTTTCTCTTCAGTGATGGAGCCCATGACAGTGACAACCTCAGTGGTTGGACCGGACGAGTTTGACCGCAATGCCCCACGGATCTGTGGGGTGTGTGGTGACAAGGCCACTGGCTTCCACTTCAATGCCATGACCTGTGAGGGCTGCAAGGGTTTCTTCAGGTGGGTGATGTGCCTCAGCTTATGTGCAAGTTTTCATTTAGTTTTTAGTACATTGGCTGATGGCATCAAAAGGTGTGAGTGTGTTGAATATGAGGTGTTATTAGCAGCCTTTCCATGTGGAGAAGGTGCATACTTTACTTTGCTTTATAGTGGGCATCATGTAACAGTGATATTTTTGCCAACATGTAACTGAATCATTTCTAACTGTCCAATTGTCACTAGTTGCAAATACTTTAGTTCAAAATGAGATTGTCCTTATCTATAGTAGGTTTTCAAATTAGACCCTTTCACTTTCTGACATCACTGAAAGGCATTTAACTGAACATACTTTGTAAAACATTTTTAGAGCTCGTCTGTATTATTGAATGTTTGCAGTATTAAAGCTACAGTATGTAACTTTTTTCAAATATCTTTGTTGAGGAAATCTGCTCCAGAACGTGTCTTAATGTGGAGAGGTGCTGTCGAAACCTCCTGTAGACTCAGTGAACAGCACTGGCAGCAGTGCAGAGATATTAGCTTGTAAAAGGTTTTGGGTGGGACTGACCTCTCTATCCAGAGGTTTTCGATTATTTCTGCTTGATCAGTAGGTTTTGTTGCCTTCTCATTTATTGTAATTTCATAAGGACAAATATCTGAAGAGCTGGGCAGAGCGTGGCGGAGCGTAGTAGAGCAGAGTGGAGCAGGGAGAGGGAGTGCTGGGTGGAGCGGCATGGATTGGTTTGTAGTGTCATGCTTGTGCTACTTTAATGTAACTTAAGATAGTGCTCGCTAGGTAGCACTATAGCTTTAATATGTCAGATCTTTGGCTGGTGTGCCCTTCTTTAACATGTTGCCATTGCCTAATAGCAAATGCATTTTCAAAGAGGAGTATGTATGGATGACTGTCTAATATATATGTTTGTTATGCTTCATGAACATGCATGCAGTGTTTTCAGAGAAGTATACATTATTTAGTATTGTCCCTAATCCCTTTTCCCTATTCCCACTCTATCTCACTTCCTCTCTCACACTCCCTCATGTACACACATGGTCACATACAACACACACGTGCCTGTTCTCATACATCAAGGCCTCTAAAGATGATTCAGTAGTGAATTTTGAAATTGGTTCTAATTCCACCAACCAAACTGCGATATATTTTTTAAGCATTTATATGAAATTCATTTAAATTCATTGTGTGCTGTAGTTTGAAAGGGCTGTAAATATTTGAATTCATATGTTTTTAAATAATGTTACGTTATCGCCAGTAAGTTGTTTCTTCTTATATCCCTATGTAGCGTAATTCAAAAATCCACCTTCTTCTGTCACTGCAATATATTTTAACCAATACAGGGGAATAAATGATTCTAAACAAATGATCATCTATGAACTCCTGTAGGCGCAGTATGAAGCGTAAAGCCTCCTTCACCTGTCCATTCAGTGGAAGCTGCACCATCACCAAAGAAAACCGGCGTCACTGCCAGGCCTGTCGTCTCAAACGCTGCATTGACATCGGCATGATGAAAGAGTGCGAGTTGACCTGTTTGGATCTGACATTCTAGCAATGCTGCTGATTTGTTAGCATCATTGCTTTAGGTAGAAATACAGATTCGACAGCAAGCATTTTAGTTTTAACATTTTTATTTTTTTTTTATGATTACCTGTTGCCATTACTTTTCTGACAAACAGAATTAGCTGGATCCTAATCTGATCAGATCAGTTTCTTTCCAGTGTAGTTTCATTTGATTTGAATTACTATCTGTGTTGATCATAGAAAAATTTTGACATGGGAAACAACGTCCCTCTTACCCTGCTGACTTTTTGCTGGTATTTAATTATGAAATGAATTACAAACCTCAGCTAATTATTGGCTTGGGTCAAACAGTAGCAGCATAAATTAGTTAGGCTCAGATACTGATACTGTTTAATCTGTGACTACTGGAGTTTATACAGATTTGATTTGATTTGGTTTATTTATTCTTTCAAGCATGTAAAGACAGTTGATATATCAACACACATAATTTTACACATGTCCAACAAATGCTAATCCAATATCAATTTGCTTATACCTAGTACAGGCTTGAATGGAGTAGGAAGAAGTCAGACTTATCCAGTCCTACCCCCTGACATCATCTTACCATCATTGGTTTGCAAGCAGTATCTCTACATAGATAATTATCTTCTACACCACACAAGTAATATACTAAAGAATTATTACAGAGTATTAACATTCATACACCACACCCACAATGTTCCATCTAATTAATCATTAAGCCTGTTCTTGCATATATCTTGATTGACACATACCTTTATATTTATGTTTAAACTCGTCAATTCTGTTACTATTTTTTATGTCTGCACTTAAACAGCATTAATCATAGCGTTGTAATTTATTTTAACTGGATGGAAAATGTGTTGTTTTATGTGTTAGGAAGGTTGTTTGACAGCTCTGCTTTTAACCATGTTGGTCTTGCATATACATAGTACCAAGGTTTAATAAAGTAGAACGTGCTGTGAAAGTAATTATTTCAATCATATATAATTTTTTCTTTGAAAGCCAGTGTGCATTTGAATTTCAGCAAACTCACTAATGGAAATGATGCTAACAACAGTCCCTTGGCATGAATATGACAAGTAGCATAAAACAAGGAGAAGGAAGGAAAAAAGGGGGGGTTTAAAGGCTGTTCAACAATGGCCATCTTTCTTCAAAGAGATACACAATGGTCTGGCCCACATTTCATTCACAAACCAACTGTGTGCTTGTGTGCAGTTTTTTTGTGAACCAGAGACGATGCAGGGCAGGGTTTAGACCAAAGATAACAACCATGTTTACCACAAAGAGCTACATGACACTAGAGTGTCAGTGTTTCATTGAGGAAAGATGAGAGAAGGGTGGGCAGGAGGAGGGAGAGGGAGGCTCTTAAGAGCATAAAATGGTCTCTTTGTTTCTCACTGCTAGTATACAAGTTCATGGGGTAAAGGAAGCCCACGGTATTCGCTGCATAGTATTACAGTTGCTCTGCTTGTCTCTACAGTGTCTGTGTCTGTGTGTAACACTTTTTTTCCATGGAAAACTTAAGGGCAGCAGCTTTTTTCACATTGGTCCCTCCATGTTGCACTAATGACAACTGTTAAGGAAAACTCATTGCTGAAAAGAAACATAGTAGGAAGATCGCCTAGCTAATTAGTGCTTGGCATTAAAAGTTTAATTCATATTGCCTCTGATTAATTGCCATCACAGTCAGTTTCAAAACTACCACACATACTGTACCTCTGTGCTTCTGTGCACATGTAACTAATCATTTATATCCTTGTACTGTGGTCGGCTTCAATTTTTTTGCAATATTAGTTTTAATATAAAAAAAAGAACAGGGCTAACTGAGGCTGACCCACTCTGATGTAAAATCACCTTATTCCATGTTAAATGTGCAGATTCCCCTCTTTCCAGCAGTGTGTGCACTGAGAACTTAAAGCAAAAGTCTTATTATTTGCATTTCAGGATGCAAAATGGTTTATCCTTATGAACGGGAAAGTACAGATTGTTGGTTAGAGTGTGGGGAACTGGCTCAAAGACTGTGACTCAGGCCTCCAGTTACAAAGATACCAGAAGTGTGCTAAGTTTATTTTCCCGTTTAAAATAAATCAATCTAGGTTCATTAGGTTATAGTTGAGGTGTCACACATCCTTGTTGTCTCATGAAGTTTCTAACATGTTTCATTCGTTTGTCTCAGTGAATCTTGTGACCGAACTGACAAACATGACAAACAGCGCTGACAGATATCATACTAAAGCAAGGCAAATTTTACAGTTTGTAAAGCCATTCTTAAAAATATCCATTTTAAGATATAATTACAGTCTTATGGAATAAGATACATATTCAAGCTTTTAAGTATCAACTTGAAAGACTGTTACAAAAATGTCCTGAGTGTAAAGTTGATCTGACTAAATAAGACCAGTAGGATTAGTTTACAGGATGCATTATTGTTTTCCTATGGCTTTGTCTGCTTACAACATCCTCTCTTTCTATTGGCAGCTTTGTCTAAGCTTCACCGGCGTTCCGATTAGAGCTGTGTATGTGTGTGTTTTTTTTTTTTTTTGTGAGCTGTGCCAGCTGAGTGTGTAGTAAACAGAGTGTTTAACAGAGGTTAGCAAGATGCCAGGAACAGATCTTTCTGCCTATGTGTGAAAGCATATGTGTTTGTATGCTTGCAGTCTTCGTCAGTTTGAGCAGGTGTGTCTTTGTAAAAAGATTAAAATCACTGGAGTTTTTGAAACCTTATAGCCTTTAGATGATTGAATTTCCACCCTTGGTTTCTTTCAGAAGCAAAGCATGTCCTGTGGTGCTGACCTGCATTTTGTTTGGTCTTTTTGACAACATTTACACCTACATTACTGTAGTGGCAGATGCTCAGTTTATATTTGGATAGACCAAAATGTGTCTGCAAATAAAGACTATCCTATACGTTGTTTAGCTTATCTTAGCATTTCCATGTGTATAGATTTATGTAATGCAGAGTCCAAACAGCACTTCCTGTTGAAAGACATTGCAGAGTAGACACAGAGAAGACACAAGCATATGTCACCTAATGTGTTTGTAGGCCATGCACACTTTTACTAAGCGCTCCAGTACTGACACCTGATGCTGATACTGCTACAGTACATCTTGTTTTGTGTCCTACTCAACACATTTGGGCCCCCTGATACCTGAGAGGTGAAGTTTCTTTTTGAACATCACAAGCTGTGGGCAGAATTGGACAAATTTTAGCCACACATCAAATTCAGCTTTACTATGCAATTAGTTAGTTGCCTCCACCGTATTTAATTGGTTGTTTGGCTGGTTAATAAATGAGCCTGCTATGCAGGGCCGCCCCCTAATGGTCGAATAGCTGAGTCATTAGTCGAGAGACCTGTCAGTCCACTATATGATGCTTTGTTTTTGTTTTATTATTTTTTATCACACACTTTACATTACAATAGGAGGTAGCCCCAGCCGGTAGTTTGTTGTCTTCTTCTCCTCATTTTGGTGTGACAAGTAACAGTTTTGCTGCAGACGTTTTCCACTTCAACAGTGACATTGTCCGATATATTAACGTTGGATCTATTTAGCAAATTGTAGGAGGAGAAAAAGACAACAAAACCCACCAGGATAAGCCACATAAAGGTGAGATTTGTACTTTATTAGAAGTGTTTTCAAACATCTACTTTTACAAGAGAAAAGAGTGTTGTGAGGATGTGGCTGGTTTTGCATGGCCTAATGTTATGTGAGTCTAGTTTGTTTATTAAAGTGAAATGCACAGCCATTTTCTGTGACATGCATCCATTTAAACGAGACTAGGAAGCTAACAAAAATGCTTTGGGAAAGCATTTGAATGAGGAACTTTAAATAAGAGGAATCATGAATATATGTTCTTTAGCAGTGCAATCTGGCACACATCAAATGCACAACAACATGCGCTGTGGTTGACCGACGGAAGAAGCTTAAACTTGTTGGTAAACCATGGTATAACTATGTCTCTGATGAAATTCATGCCAGTTGATTTTCTGACTATTCTGACTAGGCTTTTTATTGAAGAGCCGACTGACAAAATCCTTAGTCGGATACAGCCCTACAGCTGTGAACCTCTGGCCTCCACAATAAGGACATTGCTTTTCCTTGTTTGTCAGCGTGACATTATTGGTGCTGAGCCAACTTTATCAACCCTCACCCACCGCCACCACTATCAAGGTTTATGTTTCTTTCTTTCTTTTTTTGTTCCTCTCTTCCTTGCAGTGCACCATATCACCACATCCAATCAAGCGCTTTCTAAAAAGTAAAATTTCTTTGGTAAACTGATGTGTGTCTGCTGTTGGGTGGTCAAGATGTTCCTTTGGTGAACTGTTGTTTTTGTGCACTCCTGCCTTAATTATGCCATCCAGGGCCCAAGCCTGGCTAGAGTGGTTGAGTCATGTCCCAGCCTCAGAATAGCTGCTTGGACTGCCTGTGCCAAACTCTGACCAAACTGTGCCAATTCAAGATCAGGGTTTGTGCTGCATTCTTGGACATGCTCAACCCCAAGAAGTGGTTCTAGGCAGTTTGGTCCTGACTCGGGACTGGATGGGCATTGAAACACAGCCAGAGACTAATTAATGACGGTGGTTAAAAGAGATTAGAGCCAAAGAAATCCTTTGGTTAGCTAAGCAGTCGCATTCATTCAGTTGCCTCTTTAAGCCTGTGTTGCCAAACTGGTGGTGCTGTTCTTGTCTGCACCACCACATCAGACAATTATGTAATGCTGCTTCTGTGGTTGCAATTCAGGTTGAAAATCCGCTTCAAATATAGTTGTTTACAGCTTCCAGGAAAGCAACCAGTAATTAGTATGAAGCGCCGGATCTGAGCACTTTTTAATTAGAGTAATCCATATCATCTCATTGATCTTTTAAATTAGCAGTTACTGTAAAGAATGTTTTAATTTGGAGGATTTATTCCTTGGATCCCAATATGTACTGTATCTGTCTATATTTCTCTGTGGATGTTGGATTGTTTTTGAATGTATTTGGTTTAGCTCTACTGGGATTTTTGAAATTGTTGCCACTTTGTGAATTAGATTTTGTTTTCGGGGAATACAGAAGATCATGTTAAAGCATTTCAGTTTCAGTAGTAAATGTGCTCTGTTTGCAGAGTTGTCTAATAAGAAATGTAACAGGATTTTCTTTCAGAGCACCTAACTGCAGATGTCACATCCACACACTGAACTGTTTTTCAGTTTATAACATCTTTTTAGGCACAGTTTGCAGTCCAAGGCTGCCTCCCTCACACTGCGGCTGGCCACTGTGCAAAACCCATCCAGATGTAGTCATCTTTAAAAACTACTGAAGAAATTCTGTGTGTATTACTCAGACTGAACTGAATCAAAATAATTTATAGAACACGCTGAGAATTCAGAGAAGCTGTGTTGTTTAGGGTTGGTTAGATCTCAAAGGCCTCTGAGACACCGGTCATAGAAAAACCTCCAGAGACTCAGTCTGCATTGTGACTTCAAAGTACATTTATAGACTAAAGACTGAGGTACTGTAGCTTATGTGATTTAGTGTTTCGACAGTAATGTCGGCCCTCCACAGCTGTATTAGTTAGCGCCAGTGTTCTAAGTTCTGCCCTGTTCTGTTATTTGCCCTGTCAGTAAGCTAATGTTAGCATGTAAAGCTACAGGAGGATTTGATGGCAGTGGCTGGCTTATACTGTGATGCTACCTAGGGAGTGTTGATAGTGCCACTGAGTTTGGCTAACATTGCCAAAAAATGTTAATATAAAGATATTAACATTTATTGGTGGGTTCTAATAGCTTATTACAGCGATGACATTTCTTGAAATGTGTTGGCCAAAGTGGTCAGATTTTGGCAAAGGTAGTGCAGCATTTGAGCACAGCTTTTCATATAACTGTCTCCACATTTTACATATTCTATATACCTGCCTCAGCTATGTGTAACGCAGCGTGATATGATGCTTCAGTTGCCTTGGTATTCACAGTATTAAAATGTCTCAGTTACTTTACTCTGTGACCACAATTCCTTTAGCCTCCTATCAAAAAACTCACGTGTCTTGATCACCAGACATGAGTGCTTGGTCTCAATATAATGCCAGAGTTTACTGTACATGGTCTCATACTGTCATTAGCTAGCACCACTTTGCAAATAACACACAGCGGCAGTCGAGCATCATCAGGATCAGTCCATGGAAACCAGTACTTTAATCATTGTCATAGTATCTCCATTTTCTGTTCTCCCCAGACTCCTCTTTCACTGTAGGTACTACATATCGATCCATTTTGCCCCACACATAGCCAAGCTGAAGTTTGATGTTGACACTTATTTTTTTTCTGGTTTACTTTTTCTGGCGCTGTGCCTCCCTTGAAGTCCTGTGGCACCCCCCAGGGGAGGCAGGCCTCGTTTGAAAGCCGTTGCTCTAGGACATCTAGAAGTGGCATTCAAAGCAACCAGTCCATTTTGCACCATTGTGCCACTCTGCCTGCAGTCCCTACTCCTGTGGCATGAATAAGGCATCAGCTGTATAAAAAGGCAGCTTCCATTAAAGGCCTGTTTTTTCCATGAGATCTGTGGTTACACAGGAGCTGCCATTACATCTAACTTTGAAATCTAACTTTTTTTTTTTTACTGCTGAGTATTAGCACATTCTTTTCACTCTTAAAACCACAGTTCACACTCAAACTGATAATTGATCATGTTATCATGCTCAGGCTGTATTTTGGGACATCTCTCCTAACATGCTGTGAGCAAACACTCAATCGCTTATGAGAATGTCTTGACTTCATCCAAGTGTTAAGGTACAACATAAGAACCACTTTCCTTTCAGTGTGGGTTACAACTTTTCTCAGTTCCTTTTCTCCTGATACTCGTGAAAGAATAGCCAATTTTCACCAAAACCCAGTAACCTTGACATTTGAAAATAACCTTATAGTATAATGAATTTCTTGTTTTTAACTTGGATGTGAAATGAAGCTATTACAAATACTTTGAGCAGACGACAAGCAAAAACTGAATTGTAACATGATATCAGCCTGAGACACTATTTTACAAGTGGAATGGAGGATTTGATGCAAAAATGTTATGTTAATTTTGATTTTTAAGTATATACTGCTTGCATACAAATACCTTGTCACTTGTCTCTGATTTACTGTGGCCAATGCAACCTGCTTATCAAACTAAAACCCCTCCAGTGTGATAGTATGCTTTTAGTAATTGTTAACCTGAGTGGAAGAGTGTGTGGTGTCACTACACCACGTGCATGGACCTGTTCATGTGTTTACTTTCACTAAATTAGAGATAAGAGAGAAGTCAGTGAGAAGTCCAGATCAATTGCAAATAAATGATCTTGTGATTTTAATGGGGCTACCTCTTGATTAAATTCAAGATTTGTTTGCAACTTTTTGGATGGAATCAAACAATTAAAAATAAAAATTTGAATGTCTGTATTAATCTGAATGAAATCCATTAATGTGAGGAAGTAAGTTTGTAATGATGTTGGAACATGTGTCCTATGTTGACATTAATGTGTGTGCGTGCTTTATGTGGCAGTTTGTTATTATTTATCCTCTCTTCTGTCTTCTGTTCTAGTCATCCTGACAGATGAGGAAGTTCAGAGAAAGAAGGAAATGATAATGAAGAGGAAAGAAGAGGAGGCAGCCCGGGAGGCGATGAGGCCACGGCTGAATGAGGAGCAGGCCCGGATCATCTCCTCTCTAGTGGAAGCCCATCACAAGACTTATGATGCCTCCTATTCTGATTTCTCCCGCTTCAGGGTTAGTCACATTATCATTGATGCAGACAAAATTATTTTGTCCTCCATATATACTGGTAGAGCAGGGTATCATGCATGAGAGAGGAGGATTCCCTGAAGCACAGCAACTGGACAAGATACATTTTCCAGTAAAAAGCAAATTGATATTACCATATTTTGTGCATTTTGTGTTCCACCACAGAAATTTAATTTGAGGCTAAATGAATGTTGAGGCTAAATGCTAAAGAACTGATGTTCAAACAAAAAAGCTGTAATAATAGGATATGGATACCGTTAGCTCTGTTTACCACAACACTACAGAACTTGGCATTCTCTCACTTATACTCATGACTGTAATTGGCTGAAGTAGGCTGCAATTATACTCAAAACACCAGGAATTGCACCACTTTCTCACATTTGATCTTTTTCTGGGTCAGCTGACAAGACAAATGTATTAAGATCATATTAATTCATGTCAGTGTCTGTCTTTACAGAGTAAAGAGACAAAGAATGGCATGTGGGTGTGAGGTGAAATGAGCAAAGTATAAAATGTTTAATTTATTGTTCCAGAAGGGTGTGACCACACCGACATATTTTTTGGTTTCTCTGGTCAAAACCATTATATAAAATTAAATGTTATTGTATTTGCTTTTCTCAAGTTCATGCTGACCGTTTACCAGGGTTTGAAAAGAAAGGTTAAGTAAATACATAAGCCACAGACTAAGTTTGAAGTGTGAAAAAAACATTGACTGTACGTTTATAAAATGGATGTCATGTCACCGCCTCTCTCCAATGTGCAAAGGTGAAGCCAAAATATTTTTGCAACTAGCTTCTGCGTAGTAGCAACCAGAAGTGGAGTGACATCATCATCAGGCTGCCAATCAAAGCTATCAAATCATTCAAAATACACCTCTTTTTATATCATGAAATAACTTATTAAAAAAATTAAATTACCAGAAAAATTAGCAAAGGTACAGACATCAATGTGATAATATCTACCAGAAATGGCCGAACGGCTGTAATATGGGGGGTGCATTATAACGACACTCCATGCGTTAAACTATTAATGCCAAAACACTGGCAACACACAAACTTGTGAGCTGCAAATGTGAATAGCCCACTCAGGTCATATCATACGTGCCTATGTGACACCCCCCCTGCAACCCCTCACCCCTGACCAACACAACCTCTTGCCTTGGGCTTGCGTTTCAATACACCGTCTAAACGCCTGCTCACACTCATGGGAGGTGGTAGAAATGGCCAGATTTTTTAATGAGTGGTGTTTCAGTATATCTATGGTACATGCTGCATTGTGAAGAAGTGCAGAGGAAAATGATCTATGTCTGTAAAAATGTAAAGGGAGTCAGCACCACTCCTGTAATCTAACAATATAATTTCTGTAACCACAGTTTACTTCAGAAACAACATGTCAGCTGCTCTCGCCTGTGTGTGTTTTCAGTTTACTTGACACCAGTAACATGAGTCACCAAGTGTTTATCTGTCTGACAGTGGGCTTGTATTTTCTTCCTCCGTGTCATGAACATGATACTTTTAGACAACATTCTTTCTGTGGACCACAAGAACCGGGTCGTCCAAAGTCAATGGAATGGAACATAATGGAAGGAACAAGAGAGTCCTCAAAATACTTCCTGCCTCTGTGATTTATTAGCATCAAGCATGAATCTGTAACACAAAGTGCAGACAGACAGCCATAACCGCAATCCACATGTGTAGTAAATACCAGAGTCTTTTAGATATCGATACAGATATTGTCCATGTGAAGCCTACAAAATAAAATACTCTGGTTGTCATAAAAGATAATGGAAAGAACATGACTGCACAACTGATGAGTCTAAAAAATGAAGGTGTGCTTTGAAAATGATTAGAAGTTTCATACTATGGATTAACACTTTGCAAGGACACAAGGACAGGGCAATGGCGATACATACAGTGGGTACGGAAAGTATTCAGACCCCCTTAAAGTTTTCCCTCTTTGTTATATTGCAGCCATATGCTAAAATCATTTAAGTTCATTTTTTTCCTCATTAATGTACACACAGCACCCCATATTGACAGAAAAACACATAATTTTTTGACATTTTTGCAGATTTATTAAAAAAGAAAAACTGAAATATCACATGGTCATAAGTATTCAGACCCTTTGCTCAGTATTTAGTAGAAGCACCCTTTTGAGCTAATACAGCCATGAGTCTTTTTGGGAATGATGCAACAGTCAGTTAGTCCTACATTAGAAGTTCTTATGAACGGTGCTGATCATTCCTCATGGTTCTCTCATGTGTCCCTCACTTGTTCTGTGGTAACGATGCACATTTGTGTACTTGTTGTGAAGTGTTAATTTTTTTACCATGACCTCTGACCTCCTGCTCTGTTGCCCATGGCAACCACTGTCAGTTAATCGATCCACAAATTCAGAGTGTTTTCATTCAGTCAATCAGTTATTGACCAATGGGATACACACACACACACACACACAAGGTTTTGGGCCAATCAGGAGTTTTGTTATAGTGACGAGAATAATGAGGCTCAAACTACTGAGGATAATATATATATATATACACACAGTGGGTATGGAAAATATTCAGATCCCCTTAAATTTTTCACTTTTTGTTATATTGCAGCCATATGCTAAAATCATTTAAGTTCATTTTTTTCCTCAATGTACACACAGCACACCAGTCTGTGGTCCTGAGCACTCTGGAGAAGGTTTTCGTCCAGGATATCCCTGTACTTGGCCGCATTCATCCTTCCCTCGATTGCAACCAGTCGTCCTGTCCCTGCAGCTGAAAGACACCCCCATAGCATGATGCTGCTCATCACACTTGGAACACTTTTTGCATAAATGTAAAGCCAACAAAACTCACTTTACTAGAGTGTTTCAAATTATCAATCAGTGCATTTGTGTGCACCGTCAAGTTAGCTACAAACTTGATGGTTTTTTTTATGCCACCCTCACTGGCAAAGCTGTGACTGGGGTATATTTTCAGGTTGCCTGTCTGCCCATATGTTCATCCCATTCTTGTGAATATAATAGGTTAGGAATTTCTTAAAATTTGGCACAAATGTCCACCTGTGCTCAAGGATGATCTGATTAGATTTTGGTGGTTGGTGGCCGGTGGTCAAAGGAAGCCCGGCAGTGAATGGGATGTTAATGTTTGTGTTTCGTTGTGTTGTGTTTGCAGCCTCCAGTGCGTGAAGGCCCAGTAACACGCAGTGCCAGCAGAGCCGCCTCTCTTCACTCTCTGTCTGGTGCCTCCACTGACTCATTCAGCCACTCTCCTGGTGAGATACACAAATAGCCCTTTTCGTCTTGGTTAACTTTACTGAGGACACAGCCCTGAACAGACCTGTTGATTTAAAAACACAAGCAAACATAAGCCAGTGAAAGCCCATTCAGCATCCAGTACTACAACCAGTACTCTTTTACTTTGAGAAGTGAGCAGACATGCACATGCCATAAAATTCATTCAAAGACCTTTGTGTGTATTAGGTGTTATGTCCTTTTTCCTGCTCTTAGCTACTATTAAAAGGTTTGCAGTAAGGCTGCGTTCACAGTACTGGCCTTAATGCTCAAGTCTGATTTCTTTTTTTTTCTTTTTTTTTTTTTTTTTGTCAGATCTGATCTTTAAGTTTGGCTTGATCAAAACTTCTTCTTAAACTGGGGTTTCTTCATCTGAAACCTTAAACTGTCCACTTTCAACTCATCTGCCATCTTGTCTTGTTTAACGTCACGTTGGCTTTTTTTTTACTATTTCTGTGTTCACCTCCTTTCAATCATTTTTCTTGCGCTTCTCTTCCTCTGCACTTTTCTTGTCTCCTAACCTTCAGGGTCAGCAGACACCAGCACTGTCACCAACTTGTTAATGATGTACCAGGATAGCGCCAGCAGTCCAGGGGCAAGTGAGGAGGAAACAAAGCTTTCCATGTTGCCTCACCTGGCTGATCTGGTGTCCTACAGCATCCAGAAGGTCATCGGCTTCGCCAAGATGATCCCAGGATTCAGGTACAAACTATAATGCACTGCATTGATTAAGTCTAAACAACTGTACTGTCAACTGTGTAACAGCATGTATTACTGTCGGTAACAGTTTTTTAATCCTATCACTAGAAGTAGGAATGTCAATAATGAATCAATTATTGATTCATTACTGTCATTTTGATTGATTAAAATATGTTACTGTAGCTGTAGCAGAAAATGAGGATGTGCAGTTTCAGATGTAGTTTGCTGTAGTACCTTGTTACGTTACTAGGTGGCTTACTACATGCCTCATGAGATGGAGTTGCACATCATTGTCATCTCAGACTGACTTAAGCTGTGCTGTGACTCTGTGCAGGATAAGAACGCACCTTTTTTGTCATCCAAGTAAAAAAGATGCTGCAGCATGGCTTTTATGCTCTTTGTGGCAGTCATCTTGATAAACACTGCAGCATAAAGTTGCAAACATTCCACGGACTTGCCTGTTCCATGTCGCCTGCCTGTCTTGCTAGCTGCCTGAGGCTTGGTTAATACAACCTGTGAGCTGAGTGTCAAACAGCAGATAGCTGCAGCGCTAACGTTTGGGCCAGTACTGTAATTTAACATGCTTCGAACATAACACAAAAGTAGTTAACTTGCATAAATTCTTTTTACTATAAAGCTGAAATAATTAGTTAACTTTTCTTTTTTAGTAATTTCTAACATTTAATAGATAACTAAATAAATAATATGCACAATATTTCATAGCTAAAAGTTAGTAGCAGCCTTGATTAATAAAATAATGGTCTGTTAATTATGTTGAGTGTATTTGAAGACACAGCAGAAGCTGCAGGTCAGCAGGATCATGTTTGATTGGCTCAGAAGGGTGCTATCATTTTCTAGCCATGTTAAAAATTAAACTTTATTACCCCTGCAGCTATCTGTTGTTTAACTGAGTTATAGTAATCATGTGTTGACTGGTAAAATCCTCCTGAATGAGATCCCCTCCCACATGCAGAGCGTACTGATTTGCTACCCACATGTATGCAGAGCATTACTGGGTAAGGCAAGATACTATTATTTCCAAACAAACTCTTCCAAGAAAACGTTGGAACAGGATGTAGCTTTATAAATACATGCAGAGCTGGGAGATAAGTTTATAAATGTATGCACAGAAACCATGTAATAAAAGAATAGAGGAGACATATCTGCCATGTGGGTATACATAATGAATACATGAGTTTGCATGAACAGAAACAAAACAACAATAATTGCTGAGGTGCAGATAGCTTTGTATTTAAATACATTTAATCCTGTGACCTTGCTTCAGTGTAGTCTGAGTATATGATTTAAATATTTGGAGCTAAGTGTAGTTAGGGAAATTTACTTTGGGAATATGAAGTAGCCTGGCATTTCTTTGTTTATCTTACAAATACCACAAAAATGTGACAACGTGGAGCTCTTTGCAACTAAAGGGTTTTTGATATTTTCTTATCCCGGAGCACCACATCATCTCTAATTAGACCTCAGCCCTAATGTTGTCCTTGGCCCGAGAGAAGCACTTGCACACACTGTTCAGCTGAATGTGTGACTTTCTCCTTACTGTGTCATTTACTAAATGCTAGGAGCATCTTGTCATTCAAAAGCTTTTGACTTTGAAATTCAGACTTTATTATCCCTATCTGTCTATGCCTCATGCAACATCACAGTGATTCATCACCAAGATGACAAAATATGAAAAAAGTGAATAACAGCTTGAAAGAAAAAATGATCTTAATAGCAAATTGTAAGGGTCATTTTTAGTGCAAGAGAACATGTTTTATTACGGTGGTGATGAAGGTTTTTGCTCCTCCTAAAATTATAACTGCTTCTGTAGGTATATGGAGATGTGCACACTGCAGTACTGTACATCCACTAACTTTGTGATGTAACATAGGTGACTGGTTTTGCTGAAGGCTCGTGATTTTTTTGTACACGCTGTGCTTGTGTGTGTGCTTTTTGGCCACACAGAATCTGGGGTTGGAAATTGGTGCTACTGTAAATGCATATGCATTAAATGAGCCTGCTGTGCTTATCAGTCTCCCTCCCTCCCACACACACAGACACACAGGCTGACCTTAAGTTGTCACCCTAAAATTCAGTGGTGTATATGGTGGAGACCAGTATTTTGTCTTCATAAGACAAGCTGAGACCACACAGTATGTGTGCAAACAGGTGTAAGTAGTTCAGTACAACTTTGTGATGTGTGTGTGATAAGAGTGTTGAAGCTGCAAAGACTTGTACAGTAGTTAATTTAGATTATAGAATGTTTGTTCAATGATATTCTCCCCTCACTTTATTTGCACCGCTTAGAGTAAATGATAAAGTGTTGCTGGCAGTGTTTATTTACTGTATGCTGCCCCGATACCTACGTTTGGTATAGCTACTGAACAGCACACACCGACTCTGCGTGGGTGACATTCTGGACCGAATTTAAAACATGCCAGAAACTCCAGCTGCTTCTCTTGTTTTTCTCCAGTTCGTCTGCTCTGCCTTTGCCTCTGTACAGTCAAGCCCAGCTATAATAACACGAGTTGAAAATGTTTACATGCAAAATCCAAGCTTACTTTGTGGATCATTCTTAATTTTTCTGCTTCGTTTCTCAGTCTGAATGATCTCAAGAAATACTTATGTGTGACAGTTTCCTCCTTTAAACAAAGTTTTCATTGTCTGTAAACTCCTTAAAGAAAAGTGTTTTTGGAAGTGTAATCCTTTACTTTTACCGCCAGTAACTTTGTTGGCTAACTTGTTGATCGTCCAGGTTGCTAGTTACCAGTCTGCTATAACCAGACTTTTCTTTTTGCAGTTGAAAAACGTACTTGTCTTTGTAAAGACACCACCAAAGGCAGCTTCCTTGACTCTGTCCCAGCTGGTTAAATCAGATGTTTGAGCATTAGCTGATGATTCTTGTGTCTGAATGTAAACACATATGCAGTAACCCGTGTTCTATCTGTGCAGAGAACTGACAGCAGAGGACCAGATTGCTCTGTTGAAGTCAAGTGCCATTGAGATCATCATGCTGCGTTCCAACCAGTCATTCAGTCTGGAGGACATGTCCTGGAGCTGCGGGACACCAGATTTCAAATACTGCATCAATGACGTTACAAAAGGTTGGTTTCATGTCACTCACAGTAAAACCAACGAACAGGCATTGGAATTCCCCGGATTTTGCTGTAAATCTGGGCCTTTTGGAGTCTATATACTTGTAAGATGGTGAGCGATAATTAGCACAATTTTATTTTTGCAAGGACACCAAACCAAAAGGCACTTTGTATCTGTGTTCCTCACTGGTTGGTATTGAGCCCTGATGCATTAGTAAACTTACTTGTGATCAGTCCAGTTCCTGAATCTGTATTGATGGCGAAATTTCGATATTTCCAACGCACAGTTTAAATCCATTCAGGTAAAAGATTACAGCATCCACTCGGCCATTAAAAACAGGTTATAGGCCACAAATTGCCATAGGTCACACATGCACAATGAACAATGCAGAGCACACTTGTTTTTTAGGGTTTGGGCCATGAAACCAGTCTTTTTATTACAAATTTTGCATACATTTAACAGTTTCAGACTCAGTAGTCAAATGGTTAGACTAATTATATCCCATTTCACTGTAACAGTGTCAGAGATTATGCTGTCTAGTTGAAATAAGTAGAGAAAATTAGTAACCGGGCAGCACGGTGGCACAGTGGTTAGCGCCGTTGCCTCACAGCACGAAGGTTCCCGGTTCGGGCCCCACCTAGGACCTTTCTGTGTGGAGTTTGCATGTTCTCCCCGTCCTTGCGTGGGTTCTCTCCGGGTACTCCGGCTTCCTCCCACAGTCCAAAGACCTGCAGCACAGGTTGATTGGTGTCTCTAAATTGCCCATAGGAGTGCTATGTGTGGGTGGGTGTGTGTGGTTGTTGGTCTATATGTTAGCCCTGCGATGGATTGGCGACCTGTCCAGGGTGTACCCCCCCTTCGCCCGATTGCCGGCCGGGATTGGCTCCGGCCCCACCCGTGACCCCGCTCAGGGATTAAGCGGTAGAAAATGAATGAATGAATTAGTAACCAACCTGTCTGGGGCAGACCCTAATTGTGTTTTGTGGATTTTATTATATCAGCCTATTTTTTGTCAAATAAAATGTGTTCACTATGTATACCTTGCAAGAAAAGAATATTCTTCATATTAAAATCTGTAATGAATACTTGCCAGTACGCCTGTATTTTAAGTATGGAGGTGGGAGAGTTTGCTAATTGCTTTGTTATATGTTGTAAAATCATTAAGTGGACAAAATAAAAAGGTCTTTTCAGCTCCCAGCTGAGGCCAAAAATTCAACTAGAATTGATGAAAACTCAGGATCTTATGGTGGCTGGACCCCCACCCAGGGCAACTTCAGGAACTGCAATGATAAATTGTGACTGTGCATATAAGTACACACTTTCAAAAGAGACAAGTGTCGTGTGAGAGAAAAGTGTTCATTGTTGCAGTTGATGACACAGCTGTGATTCCCATCCCCCCCACCCACTTTATATAACAGAGTGTTAAATGGATCACCCACACACTGCTTTTCTACACATTCTTGCATGTTTCTGTTAAGTTTCCACTTCAGGGGTTTTCAAGGAAGCAGTACAGCAGCCACAAACACACTCTCGGTGTTTATTCATTCACATATGTAAGACAAGAATTAATATTCTCGAGCAGTGTCTCCCCTTTTAAACCCTTCTGCTACATAGAGTAAGGTGTGGTTTGTTTTTTTGTTTTGTTTTTTCAAAAGTCAGTAGAAAAGCACAAAATATGAGTCCCTGTGTTAAAAAGATAAAGGGCTGATGGTGTGTTTGTATTATCCTCCTTAGCAGGTCACACTCTAGAGCTTCTGGAGCCGCTGGTGAAGTTCCAGGTTGGTCTGAAAAAACTCAGCCTGCACGAGGAAGAGCACGTGCTGCTCATGGCCATCTGCCTGCTCTCCCCAGGTACTGCTTTCTGTACTGTATGTGTGTATTTGTGTGCTCATGGTAAAGGTCTATTTCCAGCCAAGCCATATTTTAAAAGCAAATTGACTCTCTAGTATTCAAACCATGCCATCATTATACAGTGTGGAGCTCATCAAAGGGTCTGTGTTGCAGTTGGTGTTAGATCGACCTAAATATTAGCATGCACTTGATTCTACCAATAGCTGCGATAAAGCTTTCCTGGAAGATGAATCATTTTTTTTTTAGAGTGAACGATCATAATCACTGAATGAGACCATCAAGCAGCAAGGCCACTTCAAAGATAGCCGACGGAGCCTCATTCACAATCTAAAGTATTTAACGGCTGTTTCTCCCTTTTATGACAATGGAAATGAAACATGGCTCTATGGAAAAGCATTGGTAAACATCTATTTATTTGGTGTTGTAATAAACATTTATTTGGTGTTCTTCTTTTCCTTCAATCAGCGTTTTTTTTTTTTTTTTTTTACAGTACTAAGGCTTAGTGTCCCATCAGCATAGATCTTACATCCCTCAAACAACAACACTGTCCTCTGTCCATTCATAAGCAGATATTTGTATATCTGTGTGTTAAAGACCTTTGTACATTCCAGAACATATTGTACCACTTGTGCCAATTGACATCATTTCAGAGTAGCCTAATTTCTCCTGAAAAAAGCAGTGTAAAGACTATATATGTAATGATGTGGAGAAACGCCTGTAAATAAAAGGAATAAACCAACGTTTGGTTAAGTATTTGGGTTCGAAGGGTTAATGCAGAACAGAACAAATGAAGAACACGGCACAGCGTTAACCAGGTGGGGGGAAAAGAAGGTAGTTGGGGCCGTACTGGTATTGTAAAAAAGTAAATACTGTTCTTCTGTGCACACATCTACATGACTGCATGTCTGTCCATCCTGGAAGAATGATCCCTCCTGTGTAGTTTTTGACCATCTAAGGCTGGAGTGCATCATTTGTACACACTGTAAAGTCCCTTGAGACAAATTAGTAATATTTGGATCTATAAATAAAATTTGTTTGTAGCCAGTCAATATGAAAATAAAATACATGTTATGTGAGCTGTTTTTATTAGTAAAATATAGAGGAAACACCCTGTCCACAGACCACAGTTACATTCCACAGACTTTAAACATTTTGTCTGTGGCAACGGTTTGAGAGACAAAACTCCAAACTGCTCTGACTGTTGTTCTCTTTTCTCCCTCTGTTCATTTACTTCCCCAACCTGCTTTACACTTTACCTTCCTTCCTTTCATTATGCCCCTCCCTAACTCTGCTGGGCTGTCCACTTATTGTCCTTTGCTCTGCGACCTCCATCATAATGGGTATACATGCACTCCCTACACTCCACCCTTTCTATTTTCCAATGGCAGATCGTCCCGGTGTCCAAGATCACGCCCGCATCGAGCAGCTCCAAGATCATCTGACAGAGGTACTGCAGGCCTACATCCGTGTCAATCGCCCAGGTGGACACCTCCTCTATGCCAAGATGATCCAGAAGCTGGCCGACCTGCGCAGCCTGAACGAGGAGCACTCCAAGCAGTACCGCGCACTCTCCTTCCAGCCTGAGCACAGCATGCAGCTCACCCCACTGGTGCTGGAAGTGTTTGGCAGTGAAGTGTCATAGCAGAGAAGGAGGCGCATACATCTACATCCTCATTGCACACAAGATGGTTAACCAACCCTTATCACCGTTTCCCCCAGATAACCCAGCCCTTGTACAACCCTGGACATGTGAGCAAGTAATCTTCATCTCTTCATCATTGACCATCCTCCTCTTCCTCCCCATGACTTCAGTGAGCAAGACTCCGATGCCTGGATTTGTAGATTCAAGACACCTAAAGAGGCTGTGGGTTTCTGCAGCCCTTGGATAGGGTTCACAGTCACAGTGCATTACTTGACATTGTGCAGTTATCCTGAGTCATAGACATCTGCAACAGATGGACACCCTGATCCTCTTCACATCCACAAAATCCACATTTGCCTTTCCTCATCACTGCCTTTCCCTTGACGTCCCTTCTAGATTCCTGTCTTCTTTTTTTTAACAGTGGAGACAGCTTGGAGCCAGGACATAACTGTCACATGTTTTCTTTTTTTACAATCATAATATTGCTTTATGTTCACATCTTCATGATGACAACATGACAAACAAGTGTAGGTAGACAAATTTACATTTATTAACCCTGCTGGCACTTGTGAGGTATGGATAATTTGCCAGCAGTGTTACTATACCAGTGTTAGCTAGCAAAAAAAAATACTGTAGATTTACAGTTTGTTGACAGCAAAGGCATCCAAATATAATTAACAGCCCAGCCATGGGCAGGATTACAATAATGTTTTGGAAATACTCAGTTTACTGGATTAAGAAGGGAGTCCAGCAGGTCTGTTTTCCTGCTTAGTGTACGTGCAAGGAGAAATTTCACATGGTCAGATGAAGTCAGGAAAGGTAGTGCTCTATGAGTCAAAAGTTTGAACACACTTTCCCCATTCATGTCAGTGGGAAAGCATGTCCCAACGTTTGACTGGTAGTGAATAAGAATGAATGTTTATGTTCAGGGATTGTGAGAAGAAAGATTAGGTTTGGTGGAATGAGTGAAGGAGGCTGGATAGATGGAGGAAGATGCTATGGTTGCAGATCTCTGTTCACAAGACAAAAGGGAATTTCACAAAAGAATGTATGTTTAATGCTATATACACATAAATGATACATATAAGCTGATATATATATATATATATTTAGAGAGCTATATTAAAGACAATAGAACTACTTGCTTCCATGGAAGCAAGTAGTTCTATTGTCTTTAATATAGCTCTCTAAATATATATATATATATATTTAGAGAGCTATATTAAAGACAATAGAACTACTTGCTTCCATGGAAGCAAGTAGTTCTATTGTCTTTAATATAGCTCTCTAAATATATATATATATATATTTAGAGAGCTATATTAAAGACAATAGAACTACTTGCTTCCATGGAAGCAAGTAGTTCTATTGTCTTTAATATAGCTCTCTAAATATATATATATATATATTTAGAGAGCTATATTAAAGACAATAGAACTACTTGCTTCCATGGAAGCAAGTAGTTCTATTGTCTTTAATATAGCTCTCTAAATATATATATATATATATTTAGAGAGCTATATTAAAGACAATAGAACTACTTGCTTCCATGGAAGCAAGTAGTTCTATTGTCTTTAATATAGCTCTCTAAATATATATATATATATATTTAGAGAGCTATATTAAAGACAATAGAACTACTTGCTTCCATGGAAGCAAGTAGTTCTATTGTCTTTAATATAGCTCTCTAAATATATATATATATATATTTAGAGAGCTATATTAAAGACAATAGAACTACTTGCTTCCATGGAAGCAAGTAGTTCTATTGTCTTTAATATAGCTCTCTAAATATATATATATATATATTTAGAGAGCTATATTAAAGACAATAGAACTACTTGCTTCCATGGAAGCAAGTAGTTCTGAGGGTTGTATAATGTAGAAGGTTTGAAGGCCCCTCCTCAGTTGTGTGTACGTATGTCTCATCTCTCAAAAGACAAACGTACACACAAAATGCTGAGAAGTGTAAGAGGAGTCCTATTTTTGTGATGTGTGTACAGTATATGATAATATTGATGTACCACAAGGGGGTATGTGTACAGGCTCTGACTGAGGGTTTAGTGCAGGGAAACGCTTCTCTGTTAGATTTAGTTGTTACTGGACCTGTGAAGTTTGTAGACTGACAGATGGAAACACAGTGTGATGTTTCCTGGATAGTGATTATCCAAAATATTTGTTTGGCTGGTTAGATTGCTGCTAAAACAGTTAGATACAGTAGCTGGGACAGAAACCAACCACCGGCTGTTGCCTCAGGGAATCGTTTGTCTGATGATACTGTGTACTCGGTGTTTACGGTGTGTGTGGCGTAAATTTACAATCATAAGATGGAGGTTGTGTCTGAAGCTCTAGGCATCACTGTGATTTCTAATCATATTGAATGACAGCATAAGTAAGCTAAAAGTGAGACTTCTTAACAGAATGATTACTACATTTTCATTCCTAAGCTTATTTGTTCATGGATGAACTCCTTTTTGGAAATGGTTTGCATGATTGTGCAATGCACTATAGATCATTGTCAGAGCTGAAATACCCATTAAATAGTTTAATCTGTGTTACAACGCTGCTTAAAGAATATCACCCTTAAGTTTGTTTTTGTTTTTTCAGGGCAAGATGAATTTTCAATAGATGATAGCAATATACAGTATTTGAACAGTGTACACTGACAAGTAGTCCAGCACGACTCCACCTTTAACTATGACCTCAATAATAAATATATCATTGAATATTTCTGACAATTTCACCAACAACTGAAACGTTTTGAGCTTCATAAACACAGATGTTAAGGCGGAAGTGTTGCATAGAATTTCATACAGTTGTATCAAAGTCTGAATAAATCCTTCAGATGCTCTTACCAATGGAAGAGTTACAAAACATGAGAAAGTACTTTTTATATTAAACATAAAATCAAGCCTCATACTGTTTTGGTATATTGATGTCATTTCCACATAAGCGAGGTTTAGGATGTTACTTTTCAACATCACTACACATCATATCAGGACTTTGTCAGCATGCATGCTCTCCCCTCGTGCAGGCCTGGGTCACCCCCTTGTGGACAATCTTTGTAAATACCACTTGTCAAGTCTGTATATACTGTAGAGATTAATGTAGGCAAAATATTAGGAGAAGTCAATTGTTGATGGCAATATGCTCTGGAGATACAGCACTATATGCAATTAGGAGATGGACTCTTATATTATATTCAGCTACAACGGACAGAGATGGCAGTCATGATGAAGATACTGAGTTGTTTCAGGGAGCACTGAAGAAGACTGTCAGCTTTGGGTTTGACCAGTACAGCTGTTTACAAGCTGGTAGTTCTGACTGAAAGTGTTTTTAGCCAGTACTCACATATTCGAGTTAGACAAGCTTCATATCAACAAAATACTGATGCCACAAACAGGAGTAGGGCTCACAGACTGACATTCCTGAAAGAACATCAGGAAAGCGCATTGGTCATGCCAGACTGGCCAGTATAGTCCCTGGTAAAGGGCCAGCGCTGGTCCTGCTCTGTTTTGGATGATGATCTAACTGAAAAGAAAATTAGTACAGTGTCAGAAACCTGATGTGTTACATTTGACATTCCCAGTGGTGGCAGTGTTGGATATTTCAACTGGCTTACACACAAAACATCAGTGTGTGAACATCCTGAACTCTCTGGTGTGTTTTTAAAGTCATCCAACAACTCAGTATGTTATCATAGGAAGTGCCCTCTCTGTTCATGCCAAGCTTATTTGTTCTTATCTTCAATCTTTCTAGATTTTTCTAAAGTCAATCAATAACCTTTTGACAGTTATACAGTATATACATGATTTTTTTTGTGTGAAAATTTGTTCTTTTTTCTTCCTTTTGCTTTCAAGATTGTCAGTTATATTGTAGGTTGGAGTTTGCTGTCTAGCTAATGCTTGGCCTGCTGCACTGGGATGTAATTTTAATGAAGCAGAGATGAGCAACTGCTGAAGCCTTTTCCAAGTGTAAATGAATGAGCTCCCCTTCCCAGTGATTTCAGCTGAATGAATATAGAATAACCCTTTTTAACTAATGATGTGGCTTTCTTGTTTGGGCAGGAAGGGACACTGTCACTTATTCTCCTTTCCTAATGGAATAAAAACACTTGTCACTGCAGCCATTTTTCACCTGGAGCTGTAACCTGTGGGGAAGGGACACAGTGGAGCTACATGTTTGCATTGTCAGTGGAAAGGCGGACCCCAGCTCTGTATGAACAAGCTACATCTGCTTTTCCCGAACCGGAATGTCAAATACAAATAAGTGACCATAAACTAAAACTGCCTTATCTGGCTGACAGGATTTAGCCAATGGAAAAACTGCCACAGCAACAGCATGGGCATGCCTCTTCAATTACCACCCAACCATCTAACCGCCTCTTCTTCTACAGTGGCCACTTGCTGCAAGATTACACTTCATAGCTTTAACTTGGCAGCCAGTCAGGTTCTGCTTTTGGAAAACTGTGATGCACCAAGGGCTGATGGGAGTGGAACGGCAGGTGTGGGATCGGGCGTGTCACTTTACTGTGACAATTCATCGTTGTTTAATTCAGAAAACCTTTGGATTGGACATCCAGAAGATTGTGTAGAATTTGTACAGAAGATTATAGGAGGAAAAGTATTTTTAAAATAAGAGTTGCCATAGACGGACGTAGTGACATACTGGTCAGGCAGAGTGTGCAGTGACTGATGAGATGTTGCCTCCTAAACCCAAAGTGTGACGGTACCTTTCTCACTGCTCTGAGTCTCTCATTGCAGCTTTTGACATTTTTAAAGAAGTTATCGAAAGACAAAAGTGGACTTTTTACATAAAACATCAACACCTCCATCATCTGTTTGAAAAGGAATGCCTGACAGGGTAGTGGGGTGAGAGTCTTCTCAGTTTTAAGGGGTTTGAGAGCAAAACATCAGTTACTTAACTTCGCTATGCTGCTAATGACCATTTCATTGATTTTCCTCCATGGATCATTTTTACATTTTCATTGAGGTTTGGTATGCAGAGAATGCTATGCCTGCAAGAGAGATGTGGCTAACCATTTATACACTAACAGTTAACATGGGGATTGTAGCTGATGCTAGAAGCCTTTAGCGCTCAAGTGGACCTGAATAAAACTGAAGGCTCTCACCCTTTTCTCAGCCCAGGTCAGCAGCTTCACCTCAGTAGCCTTACCTACAGAAACCTCGCTCAGCGGGAAGCATATGACAGATACCTCAATAACTCACTAGATGACTTGTTACAATAGCCTTTAAGGGAACCAAACATGAACTCAAACCTCACACATGTGCACACACTCACCCAGACTGACACACACCACCTCTCTCCTCAAATTTTGCAGTTTTTCTTTTGCAGTCGCTCAAACAGTAAACTAGTTGCCAGTTGTTGTATGAAGAAGGTTTCCAGTAGAATCCTGTTCCCAGTAGACAAGTGATTATACGAGTGAATCGCAGTGTTTTAAAATGTTAATGGTCTTGCTCTGTTTTTCTGCTTTACTTGATCTTCTTCTGTGCCTCATTCTGAGTTTTCTGTTTTTGTTGTCTCTCTGTCTTTGCGAACAGATAATGTGCCGCTAAGCTTTGGCACCGCGTTTAACCCAACATACTACCTCTCCCTTCTGCACACACATACAATGTATATATACACATATATATTCTTGCCACAGCATGATTGTGTTTATTAAAAGGATCTGTTTTTTTTTTTTCTTAACACTAATTTAGAAGGGTTTTGTCTGTATGTATAGGATATTCCTTGTTATCTCTTTGCTCATTTCAAATGCTGGATGATTTTTTACCTCAGAACTCAATATTAGCATACAAATGTCAAAGTCAGTAAATTAGAGGCCTCTTAAGCATCACTTCACCACTGAAGTGTTTAAATACATGTTAACAGTTTAGCATGGAAGCAAGTCTACATTCTTGTAGCCGTTGAAAGCACCCCTTTTCTTTGTATCCATTTACAGTACAGGTATGTGACACAGATCTGATGTTTTCTAATTATTTGTTTAACTCCTATCTGGACTACATGGATCTGTGGAACAAAGACACAATGTTAACTATATTTGCAAAATATATAGTCATCACCATAAACAACTCAACTGCAGCTTGGATGA